TCACTACGCACCTTCCAACTTCTGCAACAAATGAAGTAGACCATAATCTTGTTCACTACACAGCCCTGATTGATCCCCAGAGCAGGCTGGAAAAAATACTATGTGGTCCTGTAATTAAAGATTGTGTCGTCGTGCATATGCACAAGGGGACCAAATTAAGGTTACACTGACAACCTTAATTCTGACATTTCCTAACTTATGGGTGCTTGACTTTGCAATCTAATGTTCTTTAACATAGCTTTGTGTGTAATTGTAAAAAGTAGAATGTTTGCCATCGGCAAATGCTATAAAGCTGATGTGACTTCCTTTAACCTCCTTTCCTTTTTCAATTGCTTGTAACTCTTACATATTTGTATTTGGGCTGAAATTTTCCATACCCTCTGCCCAAAAGTGACTTCTGTCTTTTGTGTGTAAAATTTTTGGTTCTCTGCTCTATGTGAGTGTCAAAGTAATGGGGAAGTTCTCCGTATGTTCCACTTCAAAGCACAAAAATCTCATGACTCTAAAAGGTATAAGTTGGAAATTTCCTAGTTGGCTTGTGTTGACAATCTTCTTGAGGCAGGCATTCAAGGGTGAAGAAACTCCGTTCAGTAGTTTATCCTCTTTTTGTTTTGTCCATATTCAGATTTTCCATTTTGTCCCTCCAGCACCATTTAAGCTTGCATCATTTAGGACACTGGTATTGATTATAGTGAAGGATGCCCTCTGCTTATATCATGCTTCTAAAGTGATCCAGTGTTGAAACTAAATAAATGTAGTTTAATTGCACTGTGCTGTTTTTAACGGAGCTTCACACAAATCTCAGTACAATACTAATCTTTAAGCATTCTGCTGTGAGTATGACTTTCCTGATGAAAATGCTTGTTTTTTGTGGTTTTTTTTTCCCAATCCTAATGTTCCATTAACACTAGTGTGATGTTGCATTAAAACACTAAAAGAGCAGGAGTACTTGTGGCACCTTAGAGACTAACAAATTTATTAGAGCATAAGCTTTCGTGGACTACAGCCCACTTCTTCGGATGCATATAGAGTGGAATAAATATTGAGGAGATATATATACACACACATACAGAGAGTATCTTGCCTGTTTATGCTCTCTGTATGTGTGTGTATATATATCTCCTCAATATTTATTCCACTCTATATGCATCCGAAGAA